GGGGGGGGGTCCTCTAGTTAAAAATTATAATTTATAAGTTGAGAAAAATGGTCCAATAATATCATTTTACATGTAGAGAGTGAGATCAACAAATTGAGAGATAGGTTTACATGATAAAAATAGTATCAATGATAATGATAGTGAAATTGTTAGCATAAATTATATAAAATTTAGTGATCATGAAGAAGAAACAAATGATGTTAAATATTTTGATGGTGGTGTTTCAATAATTACAAAAGATACAAATGTGAATTCTTTGTAGGAAGTGAGGACATACTTTGGAAATAAAAATAAAAAAGACTTTATAGATGTTGTGATTATATATTTTGTATACTATAGTAGAAACTTAAAGATATCGATAAAAATAAGGTTTAGGGTTAGATGAAAAGAAGGTCCTTGGTTAACATGTTATGCAAAACTACCAAATAGGAAAATGTGGTAGTTAAGGATCATGATGGATGACCAACTGTGTAGTAGAGAATATAAAGTGAGAATTTTGAAAGCGAAATGACTAATTAAGTTGTTCTTTGTGTTAGGGAGAATCCTAATATTAAAATTGTTGATATAAGAGATAAGAGATAGGGTTCACGAGGAGTAGAACTATGGTATTACAAAGTCACCACATTAAGGATAAGGATTTTTGCTAAAGCTTTGGTTTATGGTTGCTTCATAGAAATATCGGTGCTTATATGACTATTGTCATGAGTTGTTGATATCTAATCAAGGTTAATTTATTATTAGACAATTATCAAGGTGATGAGGAAGATTTATAGTGACTTGAGAGGTGTTTGAGTTCTACTTTTTGAAGACTTTATGTTTGTTTTAATGCATGTAAAAAGAGTTTTCTTAAATGCAACATTATTATTAGTTTGGATGATTGTTACCTAAAGAGATATATGGGTAGGGATGGCAATGGAGCCCCATGGGGGCAGGTAATGGTAAATCCATCCTCGCCCCATTAAATGAAATTTGGCCCCATACTCACCCCATATCCGTGCGGGTATCCATTAAGCGGGTATCCATGAATTTTTTTGAATACCCACGGATATCCATAGATATCCATGGATATTTATAATTTTTTTAAGAAATTAAAAATATTATATTACAAATAATTTTATATTTAATATCATTGAAATATTAAAATAAAAATTTAATGTTAATTTTGAACTTGTATTTAACGTTATTTTTGTTGAGATAATAATAAAAATACAAGATAATCATTAACTTAAAATACATCAATCTCACAAGTAAGTGAAAGTCTCATATCACAAAGATGAGAGAGTGTAGTTTTAGGGTTATGCAGTACAAAGATAATTAGGATATTTAAGAAATATTATTAAACGGGTACTCGCGGGTATAAATATCATCATACCCGCCCCCGCCTTGTTTATAAACTGGTAAAAAATTATCCGTCTCCACTATCAGCGGATACTCAATTAGCCTATCCATTTATTATCCGTAACGGATTTTACTCGCAGATACTTGCGGGTGCGGATATTTTTGTCATCCTTATATATGAGAGACAAATCTTAGTGGCTATTGGAAGAGACCCAAATAACTAGATGTTACCTATAGCTTTTGTTGTGGTTCAAGGAGAAATCAAGGATTCATGATTCTTAAAGTTTTTTAATCGATGACTTATGTGATATTACATAATGTTAGACCTACACCATAACACTATACCAACAACAAGTAAGCTTATGTTCAAAGTTATTTCATTTTGGTCCTTTATGTTTTTAAATAGATTGAATTGGACCTTTATTTTTTTAATTAGGTTCAATTTGATGTTTATATTTTTAATTAGGTTTAGTTTGGTTTTTTTAAATCACATTCTAATTTTCCTGTTAGGATTTACGACCAACAAGTAATGAATTGATTACATGTATTTTACAAATATTTTGTGAGAGACATTTACAATAACTTTAGGAAAAAACAGTCTAGGTTAAATCTAAAATCAATGATATGAAAAGTTACAAAAACAACACACTCTCAAGTTTGAGAGAGAAACGAGGGAGACGAAAAAAGAAAATGAAGAGACAACAAAGTACTTAATGAAAATTCTTTCGAGATATTAGTTAAGTTTAAGTCTACAACACACTTAAAATGTGATATATTATTAAATGAAATGTCTAAAACATTTAATAGTGTTGCAGTTAGAGCTATAGAAAACGTATAGTCATAATGTTGGAGAAAATATACACATATTTGATGAACTATAAATATAAAAGAAAAAACATAAATATTTTTCTTACTTATTTTACGGAATATTTTGACCTTTATTTATTTTTTATTATTTCAAAATTATTAGTATTAAAATAAAAGCCAAACATATTTAAAATATCTTAAAAAAATAGTTACCGATTATGTAGTTCACTAAAACCTAAAAACACAGTATGATGAGGTAAAACAAATGTGTCGTGTTGCAAGGTGTAGCAAAAAGCAATGTTTAAAAAACCGGCTCGAACTGGCCGTCGGACCGGTTGGACCGGGAATCGGTGATCCAGCCGGTCCGAATCTTAAGTTAAATCGGTTATGCAGCCGATTCGTTTTAAACAGGATTGAACTGGTCAATTTTTCGGTTCAACCGGTGAACCGGTGGGTCAAACCGGTTCAACCCCTTTTTTTTTTTTTTTTTAAAATTTTTTTTAAGGGACCATAAACCACAAAAATAATAATGAAAAATGAATCTTTTAATGAAAGAATAAAGATTCTTATTAAATATAACATTGACTACTTGTTCTAATATATTTGTTTATAATATATACAACTTAAATAACTTTTATAGTATATTATATTAATTTTAAATTATATATTTAATAATATAATATCTATGTAGATATTACATATATTATTTTGTGATATCAATTACAAGCATATTATATATGTACATATTATTTATATTTTTAATTTATATTAATATACAGTTTAACATGTAATTTTTTATATATTTTTTTACAAAATAAAAATAAAAATAATTTTAAATAAGAAAAATTGAAATTTAAAATAAGAGATGAATTTATTAAAATTTATAAGTATAAAATATATTTAATATGAATATTTTTAATAAAAATAAATAAAAATCGAGTCATGCGATTTAACTAATGACCCACCGATTCAACTTTTAACTCGCTGACCCAATACCTTAACTAGTTCGATGACCAGTCCGGTTTTTAAAATTATGAGAAAAAGTTAACAAGGTTTGGGAGAAAAGACAAGAGGATGGTGGGAGCGGTAAATTATGAAAAACACAGTCCCTTTTATGAAAAAAGGCGAAACCCCAAACAAAGTCCGTATTGGCAGTGGCATGCCATCGTCTCTCAACTTAACTGCCAAGTGAGGAGTGAGTGAGTAGAAAAAAAGCAGAGGCAAACCCCAAAGTCGCAAAATTCCTATTCTCATTCTCATTCTCATTCTCATGTAAATATCATTCCTCTCTTCTATTTCTCAACTCGCTTCCCAAACTCCCCCGACTCATGGCCAATCACCCTTCCGACCCTCCCACCGACGACTTCCTCGAGCAAATCCTCGGCCTCCCCACCTTCGCTCCCGCCGACCCCGCCGATGCCTCTCCGATGATGCTTCAGCTCAACTCCGCCGACGCCGCCACCCACCTCCCCGCCGGACCCCCCTTCCACGCGCCGCCCTACCACTTGGGCCTCAGCTTGGACCAAGGTAAGGGACCCTTCCTTAAGCCCGAGGATGCTTCTGGAAGCGGCAAGCGCTTCCGCGACGATCTCCTTGATACCAGGCCCAAGAATAATGTAATCATATTTTCTTTTCTTCGTTTATTTACGTTTCCTTTCTCGCTCTCTTAGTCTTAGGATGTCATCATCTGTTGAAACTAATTCAGCTGCTTTTAGTGAAGAAAAACACTAGTGGGTTGGTTTATGGCGGGTTCTTTTCTTTGATTCACAAGATTGACCGTTTTGGTGTTTTGAGCTTATGTGAGGGATGATTTGATCGTGAGTGTTGTTTGAAGTAAGGTGATGATGCTATTTGCTGAATTCGATTTTCATGGTGAAGAGTAATCGATTGTTTTATCAAATGAGAAATTGTTGACCAACGAGTGTTCCAGTAGTACAAGACTTGATTTCCTTGAGCAAGGTCTCCTTTCGACTTTTGTGGATGAAAAAAGGTGGTTCACAGGAGACACTTCACTAAAGGTGACAGTTAGTCAGGTTTCGTTTCCTATGGAGATTAATCATTTTATTAGAAAAAATATGAGAATTTGTTGGTGGGATGAGAGAAGATGAAGGGAGATTCTTGGTCAAGGGCCAAGGTTGGATTCTTAGCCTTGGCCACTGTAACACAAATAAGCGAAGTGCTAGTGACACACTTCATAGTACACTTCTCTTGACACACTCATTCCTAGAAAAAAATAGAATTTAACGGAAATGACACTCGAGCAGTGGAATGGTAGTCTCTTTGCTTAGAATTAAATCTCGGAAGTGACATTCTTCAACTCATGACGAATTAAATTTTTTTTTTGTCTTTTTGTTGATGTTGACTATATCATCAAAGAGTGCTCTTGTTGAAATTCTGTACCTCGTGAGTGGATAATCCTGGCAGTACTTGACTTGGAGTATAACTTGTAGATAAGAATTCAAGTTTAAGATGAATGGATTATGACTAGATATTATGGACTGTATGATAGGGCCTCAATCTTAGGTCATATCTGTGCAAACCCGTTGAAAGTCATTCCATGATTTTTTTGGACATTCCAGATTATGATACAGCGGAAACTAGGCTACTAAGGCTTTGATTTTGATACTTAGGGTCATGGTTATGACTTATGAGTTCTTTTTACCTCTTAAACCACATAGGTTATGCTATACTTGGTTTCAACTAATCTATTAATAAAGGCTAATTTTTTATGAGATTTTTATTACTTTATTCTGCTTTCGGGAGTGCTTGGGGGGGGGGGGGGGGGGTTTTT